TGGCGATCTTAGTGTAGTGGTTAGGTTGCCGGACCACCATGCAAGAGGTCTAAGGTTCAAATCCCACTGTATACAGAATTGAATAATTTCCTAGACATCTGTATCTAACTTACGGTAAACTCTGCTCGTTTCTGGGGTTGTAACCCTGTAAATCAAGTTGCACCAATGCCATTCGGAGTATTAGTAGTGTGGCGGTAGTTAATCACAGGATAATATACGCACACGAATAAATCTGGATAGGAAATATTAGTGTAGCAGTCGTTAATCACAGGATGATAGATGCACACTGATTTACGGGCAGGGAACCTGCATGGTAGAAATCACGAGTTAGGTGAAGTAGTACGGATTTCGACAGTCACACCAGTTAACGCCTGATCCGGTGAAGATCTCTGAGTACGAAGATGTAGATCGAGTAGGTGCGAGTAAGTCCATGATACTGGGTATTACAGCAACACCAACTTGGCTTGGTGACTAACTAGATTGGGAGGATCTGCTTCGCGAAACATTTAGAAATACAAAAAAGTCTGATCCGGTGGACGGCCACGGAAAAAACTGGGTTCGTACGAACATCGAATAAGGGTATATGCAAGCTAGATTGGGATATAGCGTAGCATAGTTGGGTATCGTGACACCCATTTGTTAGGGAGCGTTGTAGTGGGACTTATTCAGGTAAGACCTAGGCCCATAACAGTAAAGTTTGCGACTAATGTCAGCTTGGGTGCCTCCCAAAGTAGAGTAGCATAGGGTGATGGGTTTAACTTAAAGAGTAGTACCTTCAGTAAGTGAGATAGGGCCAGAGATTTTAAATAGGAAATCTTCTAAGAGATTTCAGGTATGGCAGCTAGTGTAGAACCTTCGGACAGACTACTTAAAATAGACAACCTAAAATTGTACATGTGGCTAGTTGTACTCTCACAATATGTATTACCTCTGAAAATTTACAAAATTAATAAAAGTTAAGCTGATGGCATTTGTATAAAGAAAAAAAAAAAAAAAAAAAAAAAAAAAATCATAGAAATTGAAACCAAAAATATTTATCAGAATATGATCGATGATTATGATTTATATGATTTTAGTGACTATTCAGAAGATCATTAGCTAGTAAAAAATCTTTCAGAAGATCAGTAGATAATCAATGAAGAAGATAAGCATGTCTTAAAAAATACTAAAGTTATAGGTAAGTGGAAGGATAAAAATAGGAGAGATTAAGCTATTGGCTATGCGGGAGTTCATGCAAAATGCTATAGTGTTATGTGTAAAAATTCAGAAAAAAATATGATAAAAGCAAAAGGCCTGAAAAAATTACTTATCAAAAGAGAGTTTACTCATAAAATATTCGAGGATTATGCTTTAGAGAGAAAAGAGAATCAACTACGAACTACACAATTCTTCCAAAGTTACAGACATCGAATATATAGAATAAAGCAAACAAAGAGGAGTATTAATCTACTAAATACAAAATTGTAGATAGATTAAGATGGGATTATAACTTATCTATATAGTGATTGTGAAATTCTAGAAAAATAAATATATATAGCTTTGCTACATAATGCTACATATTAATTTCTGACTTGACTACTTAATTTCAGAAAAATATATACCATATATAATTAGTAAACTAAAATAAAATTTTCAAATTAAAAAATAAAAGATTACTTAATAAAATCCACATGTTTGATATATACGATATAACATGCAAACATATAACCCACTTATACTTCTGGATGCTATTGCTGAAATCTTCTATTAGAGTCCATTCCTCTTCAGACCTGCTTTGCAATAAATCTATCTAGAAATAATCAGACCTATTAGATATTTTTTTAGTAAAGTTATATATACTAATCAACTCACTAACTACACTTATTGCAGAGTAATGACCCTTCAGGTCTATCCTTAAGCATAATTTTTTATCTATAATTGCTAGCAAAGATCGAGTAATCTCTCATACTAAATAATTCGTGAATAAACTTGATCACTAAATCTGAAATTAGTTTTTATAGTATCTAAATTTGGTTTGTTAATAATAAGGAGTATATTATATAACAGGATAAGTTAATAATAAATTGCAAATATTTATCCGACTAAAATTTGAGTAATTGTAATGATTTAGATATTATATCCGTTTGCTCTTATCTAGTAAATAATTCTGGACCATATGAAAATAGTATATAGTTAGATAAGAGTAAAATGATAAGAAAATTTTTTTCTTCGTAAACCAGCTCAGCATATTCTATACTATAAGTCTTGAACTACTTAGCAAAAGAAAACTTGCTAAAAAATACTCCAAATGATTAGAGTTATTAAAATCCTTAGGAAAAAATATTCTAAAAAGTTATCTAAATTCTTTTGCAAATGATATTAGAATATCAGAACTAGAGAATTGTCATAAATATAACGAAGAAATTTTTTTAAATCTGCTTAAAGCATTTACTATTTTAGTATGTGGTCATACTCTCTATCATAACTGTCTTGAAAAAAGTAACAGAGATAAGCAAAAAACTTGTCCTATTTGTTTCGTAGATAATGAAAGACTAGTATTAGCTAAAGTTCAGAATATAGATATGACAGAGGCAGTGGAAGGTGAAAGTGAAGAAACCT